CCTTAAAAGCTAAATTAAGGCATTAAAAGCTAAATTAAGGCAACTGCAAGAATGCGTGCTGATGTTTATATCAACCCTTTTCACTCTAGCATTTAGATATTTGATGTTAAAGTTAATTATGGCATCGTTTTTAAGAGTACGGCTTTTTGTCAAGAACATATAACTATTCAAGTGGGAGTTGATGCTTTGGCGTTTTCAGGCAACTAACTGCAGAAACCACATGCAGTACTTATTTGGCATTTTGGCTGCGAGATGTTTTGAGTTTTCCCAATCACCTTAGGCTGGGACATGTTTGGATGACCCCGTTTGCATATATAGTTCAAGATTCTGATAATCTCAAAAAGCCTTTTAGATGCTAATTAGATCAAACTAATATGCGATTTGGATTTGAAAAAAAAATCTGGAAAAACCCTAGCTGTTGCTTCAAGAGTGGTCACTCTGACTCATCATATCCCACAACCAAGAATTTGGCAAGCATCCAACTGTTACTTCATTTTAAGAGCAATACCACCATGATTAAGATAGGATTAGGATCACTAATTAACTTTTATATAATTAATATCTAGCTCTAGGTGCATGATAATGGACATACGCGCCATGGGGTCTGAGGTTGAAGTTTGGACCATGCTAGGGTTAGGATACAGTTAGCCTCAACCTTAATGGACACGAAGTAATAAGCACTACGAACCATGCTTTTCAGCCTTTTCCTTTCTTTATTAGTTCAGTTTAAAAGATAGGATCAAGGGACAAAATATTCAAAAGACGTCACTCTTAATCAAAACTCTTGAATGTTATAAAATCTAATGGCTAATAAAGAGTGTAAAAATATTTGTGATTATATATCCAATAATATGCGTATCCTATATATATAATTTCTCTAATTACTTATAGCACAAAACTAAAGAGACTATGTTGACAACATACAGAAATATATATTTCTAAATATATTTAGTCGTGCAAATAGTATAGGGCTCTGCATGATATATTAATCTTAGATATCTTGTGATCGATCGCATCCCTATCGCGGCGTCCAATTGGTTATGAAATTGTCATGCATTTGACAAAAGCTTACTCTTATTTATTATTACCAAAGATTATATGACGTACCATTTATTCTATTTAAAATCATCAGTGCATATATATGCAGGTTCTTGCACTGAAATTGGGTTGACTAATAGAATGTCAACGGAGCTAACAAAGTAGTTAAGAACTGATCAAAACATATGCCTCTCGAATGTCAAACTCAAGTATTTGTTTTGTATTGTACAACAATATTTTACACTTAAAGGATAATGAATTTTGGAAGTCGATCCTTAAACAGTTAATGCATGAAAAACTAAAAACATGTCTCAAGTGAACGCTTCATGCAGGACAATTAATGTATTAAATTTTTTTGGATAGGATAATGCTAGGAAGATTAAATTTAGAGACTAAATTTGCAAACTAAATTATGCGGCACCAATAAGAATGTGCACGTTTATTAACTTTTAAGTAATAAACCAATCATCAATTTTCATGTCCTTTAGTTTCTAAAATTTAGTCTACAAATTTAATTTCCATAGCATTACCCTTTTGGAGATAAGCAGATTTAGTAAGCACCTAATGATAGCAAAATATATTTGAAAGAATAATACTAGGGAAGTTGACAATTTTGTAAACTAAATTATATGGAAGTTGACGATTGGATTATTGTTTAAGCGTTGATAAATGTGCTCATTTTTTATTGGTGACACATAATTTATTTTGTAAATTTTGTCTACAAATTTAGTCTCCCTATCATTATCCTAATTGAAAACCATACGGATTAGGGGCGAATGAAATTTTTGTCATATAGATTAGGGTTTTCAAATGTAAAAAACCATAGAGTCGAACCGAGTTGGAGACATTTTTCAAATCAAAGATTAAGAAATCTTAGACTTTTGCTTCGTCTGGCTCCCTTTAAGGCCGGCCAATGCATGAGGAAAAAAAGGCAAAATAATTTGGTTTTGGTTTGTTTTGATTGATTTGACGGCATGGAACCCACAGTTTTGGCTTGAAAAATAAGTTGGGTGGGGGTCAGTTTTTAAAGTGGCAGGTTTGGCCGAACACAAGGTAGTCTAAGTGGAGATAACTGGATGAAGTAAATGAGTATAGGAGCTGCTAGCTGCTTCGGAAAAATATGCGGATTAAAAGACAATAGAGTACGTAGGCAAAACAAGAAGTCCCACTGAGATGAATGACAAAACTGACATGAAGGGGCTGATTCCCCCTCGTGCACTTTCTGCACATATAGAGTATGCATGTTGCTTCACAACAGACAACACCCTCTCTATCTTCTTTCTAAATAGCACTGTGGTGGACGTCTTTTCTGATGAGCAGTGTGATTTTTGCATTATACATGTCCATTGTTTGTTTCCCTTGCTTCATTTCCCTTTTATCCATATCATAGGGACCTAAATGAACCAGCTAAATTCCATGTATTCAGAACATGTCATGAGAACATATATATGTAGCTACGTGTCTGTGCTTTTGTCCAAATAAGTCAGATATGGCACCACATGACGATGTCAATCTAATCACGCATACTGTAAGTATAACGGTTAATTTTTGTTTTATTTTTGAGAAAGCAGAGATTGAGACTTGGTCATCTAATATCGGAAAGTGAAATATCAATAGACTATCTGTCAACGAACCTAAACCCTAGTTGCATAACAGGGTTGATGCGATCAAGTTGAGACTAATGTGTGTGAGAAAAGTACTCAAATTACCAACCTCTCATAATTGAGGCTGGCTTTAACTTTGTTCGTAACAAATTATGACATTATGTGGTACTCGGGCCGTTTGTTTCCTATGGTACTTATCACTTTGATAGGGATATATGCGTGGACTGAAATAATTATAAACGCAAACGTGTCTTCAGATAATATAATTGGTCCCCCAATCACTTTGCATATTGCGTCTAAAACTCTATGAATGAAGTAGTCCAGATTCTTCCCTTATGTGAGCAAGCATAATTGCGAATATTTGTGAGAGTAAAAACTGAAAACATAACTTAATGGTATTTGGATTTTGGATCCGAATGGGAAACGATATTCTATATATGCTAGTTTGATTTGCTAGGAAGGGAATTCGAGAAGTCAGTATATTATCGTGACCAACTATTTTAACTCACATATGAATGTAACAATAACTTTTTTTTTATAATTAAGTTAATTCAAGTTAAGAATTTTATACTTTGATGTATGATCCAAAAAAAGCTTAAATATATTTTGTAAATGATAATTTGACGGTAGAATAGTTGAAAATGACCGAATATTAATTTAGTAGTTGCTTAATAACTATTTAGTTTCTATTTTTTATTTTAACGTTTTTCTGAAACCAAAAAATTGTTTAAAAAAATGAAAATCCAAACCCAAATTTGAAAGCTACTTTTTTAATTTTAAAAATTTTGGCTTGATTTTTGTTTTCATTTTTTTTTTTTTTTGAAAACTAACAACTCAAAGTAGTAATTATTAGACGAGACGAGTCTTTAGTTAGGGAAAAAAAATAAAAAATAAAAGTTAAAACTAAAAAACGTAATGATTATTGAACGGACAATAACTAAAACAAAAACATTTGTCTTTGAGTATGATTATGTGCAAGCATTGCTTTCATCTTATTTTTTGAGCGTGCATGTTTCTTCACCAAATAGATTACTACTACCTTTCACTACCGAGAGAAACAGTGAAAGAGACTTACTGAAAATGAGTTGTTATTATGATGGTATTTCGAGTTTTTATATAATGAATTTTCATACATTTTAACTTTCTTAAGTACTAATACATCATTTTAAGATACAGCTGTAATAACACCTGAGTTGCGTCAAAGATGCTCTCTCACCATTGACCGCGCATACTCTGAACGATCAAAACTAGCATGAGTGGGCAACATATAATATCCAACTATGATGAATAATATCCACCTTAAATGTTATTGTTGGGGGATTAACAACTTGGGGACCAACGTGAAAGAAAACGATAAGATAAAACGTCCATTTACAAAACATTGTTTGGACAACCCACTGCCACGTGTTACAATCTCATTCGAATATAATCGGATACTTTCGTTAGGCCTTGTCCACCCAACAATAGCTCATGAAAGGAAAAGATCAAACATGTCCGAATTTCTGAGACATTTCCTATTTGCACAAAACACTTGCCAGTTTCACTGTACTAAGCCCTTGTCTCTGTCAAAATATCATTTCAAATTTGATTAAATTTAAAAGTAAAAACACTGAATGAATCGCTATTTACACCACACAAAACACTCGAGTCACGAACAACTAAGAAACAAATTACTTTTTTTTTTTTTTTTACCAAAAAATAAAGACACAAATTACTTTGGTTTAGATCAAATTCACTTGATTAATTCTGTAATCTTTATACGACGTAATATATCAAACTACTATTGAAAGATTGGCTTTTTTTTTACAGAAGCTATGGAATATGTTATTGCCAAGAACTTCATGTACAAAATGTGTTAGATTAATACATTTTTACGACGATCAATTTATTAACTTAAAGATAATTAGCACACAATTCAAATAATTTTAAATCCCTTTACAGCCGCTAAAAGAGACCACTAAACCCAAAAATCTGGGCGCATATCTGTCACAAAGACGTCAAACATGACATATCTAAATTGAGAGACTACTATGCTCAAGCAGCTCAACTGATCCGACATATATGTGCAAATTAGTCAGATATTTAGGGTTTGAAAGTCTAAAATTTATGTGGAAAGCTGTAAAGCAGGATACTCCAGCATTTTCTTGAATGAATTATTTGTAGATAAATTATTTATATGAATAATTTGTTAATCAAACCAAAGGCACTTATTGTGAATGAGTCCCTGCAAAATATAAAGCAAAATTCACAAAGCATCCACAGATAAATAAGAGAGAACAAAATTGTAGAATTATTTTATTTTACGCAAATCCCAATCTCTAGCCCAAAAAATAACAATATAATTCACAGAAAAAAAAAGAAAGAAAGAAATAATTATATAAAAAAACTGGTGGAAAACATTACATCTAATCTGGAATTTTTGGATTATCGAGAAGAAGGCACTGTAATAACAATCAACGGCTGCTGTTCCTCAACAACCTTACAATCAGGTACTGTGATTTCACTCCCGGCGCACGTTAGTGACTGGGCCCTCTTAGCTTGAAGATCCCAGTCTGTGGTCCCAACCACATACAACATCAGCCCAGCACAACAAACCTGGGCTGACAGCAACCCGATCCATAATCCGCAAAACCCGATTCCTACCCAGAACCCGAGTCCCACGGCCACGGGCATGCCCACGAGATAGAATGCGCTGAGGTTCACGTTAGCCGCGGTGGACGGACGTGCGCTGCCTCTGAGGACCCCACATCCCACTGTCTGCGGGCAGTTGCCAAGCTCGCACAGGCCTAGGATCGGCAGCGCCGCCGACGTCAGCCGCATGATCTCCGCGTCGCTGGTGAACATCCGAGCCCAGCTCCCCCGCATCCCAGACGCGAAACTCATCGCGGATAGGCCCATCAAGAACGCAATCATGACCGCCACCGCAGAGGATAACTTTGCCTTGTGCGGTCGGTTCGCCCCGAGCTCGTTCCCGACCCGCGTCGAGACCGCGAAGCTCAAGGAGGACGGGAACGCGTATATCAGCGACGTCGTTTGGATGAGCACGCCCATCGAGGCGACGGTTGCTCTGGGGTCCACGAGGAGCCCACACAGGACGATCATGATCTCATACCACCACCACTCCAAGCACACGGAAACGCAGCTCGGTGCTGCGAGCCGAAGCAGTGGCTTCCAACCTGTCAGGCACTCGCGGCTTGGCTTCGTCCACGTTGGCTCGTGGATCCCTGTGGCCCACACGTACGACACGAGGGCCAGTAAAACAAATAGATTGGAAGCGGCGGAAGCCGCCGCGACTCCGGCCACGCCGAGCTGGAGCCGAGTGACTAACAGGAGGTTCATCGGGAGGTGGAAGAGCGCGCCGGCGAGGGATGCTAACGTGAGCGGGTGGGTGATTCCCTGCGCGCGAAGGTATATGCGGATTGGGTGAATGAGGGAGTTTGTGAAGAGGTCAGGGAGGGAGAAGATGAGATAGGTGTGGGCCACGGCGGTGATATCTGGGTCCTGGCGGAGGTACAAGAGGATTACTGACATGCTGACCCAGAAGAGCGAAATGGGCAGCGATGCGAGGGTGAGGAAGATGACGGAGCGGTGGAGGGTCAAGGAGAGGAGCTTCGGACGTTGGGCACCGAAGGCTTGGGAACAGAGAGGTTCCATGCCCAGGGCTAGTCCGGAGAGGACGGAGTAGCCGGTGATGTTAGCGAATGCGATGGCGAGGGATCCAGCGGCGAGCTCGAGGTCGCCGAGGTGGCCAAGGAAGAGCATCGAGACGACCGAGCGGGAGTAGAGAATGAGGGCGGTGAGGAGGATTGGGAAGGCCAGCTGAAACAGAGACTTGGTCTCGGCGACTATGTCCGAAACAGCAAGTGAACTTGTGAAATGTGGCAGCGGAGGCGGCTTTGGAGCTTCTGGTAAGGATAAGAAGTCTAGGAACAAGTGGGGCTGCGGCGGCTGATGGTGATGATGCTCTGTTTTCGTGGCTGTGGATGAAGGGTTTGGATTACACATGATTGTTTGATGAACAACAACAGAGAACTGCAACTATGGAAAAACAAAGAAATGTATTTGTTTCGTTTGTATGCGATGACTGATTGTTTCTGTTTTTGAACGATTCTCTGTTTTTTAGAGAGAAAAGGAGAGAGGATTAGAGAAGGAGATACTCCCGTAGAGAGCACTCTAATGACTTCAAATTGAGTGGGGAGGGATAGATGGATGACGGGTTGGTTTTTTGGGGGTAGATGTAAGGGATGTACAAGTATAAATAGAGGTGTGATGAGGAGGGGTGTTTCCGTCTTTCTCATTTGCCTTTGAACTTTGTTTATCTTTATGCTCTTAAGAGCTCTTCGGGTTTAAGTTACCAACCGGTTAATGCTTAGGCGTTTTTACTGTTTCGTAAAAGGCTTATAACTCTCTAAGTTTCATTAACTCGAAAACTAATCACAATTTTTTTTTTTTAATTATTTAGGGTGAGAGTGTGGTAATACTTGCTTAGGGTTTAGTAGTTTATGTAGTTTGAAGAAAGAGACGTCAGATTGTCAGAAGGCAAGGCAGGGCAGACTCAGCAGAGGATTCAATTTCCAATAAGTGAAATTTTTAAAGAGGGAGATAGTTGTGGAGGATGATGATATTCGTCACCGCGTCCGTCTCTGCTGCTCGCAGTCTGACTGTTTGAGTTCTGGCATTTACCTACGTACATGAGTACTTGTATAATGTGCTTTTCTTCAAATGCCAGTGATTCGAGCACACTCCCCTCTTCTCACGGGCGCCCAAGGATATGCAATGCCAATATAATGCAACCAAGAAAGGAACTTTTGTGTATATATATCCTCCCTACACTCCACATCTATTAACTTCAATTTTTGAAAACGTATCAAAAGTTTGAATATTTGTCAAAAGTTAAATGACTTAAAATAGAAACTAGAAAATTACTGTTGACAAATAAAAAAAAAAAAAAAAAAAAACTACAAAACTACAAATATTTCGTTAAAAGTTTAAGGATATTACTTGCATCCCTCTATCTCGGATGCACAATCCCCCTATGTGGGACTCTAGTTTGTGAACACCACGTCTTGACCGAATAAAATCAACTATCTGACCCATTTAATTTGATAATATTCGTTCGATGATTATTTCTATAAAAAAATCATTCAAATTGGACATCGTTTAATCATCCGAACACATCAAATAAATGGAAGGTTCATCATGAGTTTATTACTTGGAACCTACGTCATCGATTTGTTTTATATATTTAAATGATTAAATGATTTCCGATTGAAATGATTTTTTGTAAAAGTGATCTTTAAATAAAGATTACAAAATTGAATGGTTCCAGTATGAAATTTGTTTTATCAAGATACGTTATTCACAAAAGGAAAATGAGCTCATCTCCAAGTGGAAACACAATAGTATCCAAGGTTTAATAAAGCCATAATTAAGTTAATCAGGTAGTAGTCAACCTAGATATCATAGTGGTCATGAGAGCTTTGATTGGAAGCACGAGCTTCTTGGAAATTGTCATGCACAGTGTCTAACAACATCTCTTGCCGCATTTTTTGAGGCATATAAATTGCGAGCTGTTTGTTGGTGCGTTGATTTTGATTGAGTGTCAATTAATCCTCTTGGATCAAAAGTCATAGGAGGAGTGAGACGTGAGGTCACTCTCACTGGCAGTTGCACTACTTGGAGTCTCGATCCTATGAACTCTATGGATTCTCAGTTGAATTTTCTGCAGCAAACAAAAAAGAAAAATTAATACATGGATAAATGGAGTCATATATCGAGAGTAGGATGGCAGAAGAGAGGAGGGGGAGAGGAAATGGGGGTATTGGCCGGTGTGTGGGCCTTGTGGCCGTTTGAATGATCTGATTGCGCGACTGTAATTTCTGAATTGGACACGAAAGATGGTCAGGGCTATAAACGTCAGCAAAACTTCATTGTACTGCCAAAACTGCAGCCGATGGACGACGTTGCTCCTCCAAAGTCTTATCTCAGGTCACTGCTCCTCATAAGGAAAAAAGAGCTATGTCAGCAACAAACGTCTGCGCGTGTGAATTGTTGTCAACCGTTTAACTCATTTCAATTTACTCATGGGATATTGCTCTACTTTAAAATGATCATCATACCTTTAGCTTAGGTATATAATTACCACTCTCGATATTGAAAAAGAAGATTTGTCCAAGTTACTAATAGTTTAGTCACTTCATTAACTATTTTGATGAGAAAGAAGACCCTGACCTAAAAGGGTCATTCTCTTATGAGTACTACTGATTCAGTGGCTATATTGTCAAGTTTTCTTGTAGTGTTGCAAGACTGCAGATATGATCGATAGTCTAGTGGCATGTGAATTAATTAATGAGTTGCTTACTAAATAAAGAATATATATATATATATATATATATATATATATATATATATATTGTTCATGGTACTGCACAAATTCAAAACAAAGAATGAGGTTACCAGGAAAACATATGTCGCAGTCTTCTCTTGGGTTGAGTTGCGGACAATGTTGCTTTTTTTAAAACATTTTGTGGCTCTGCCCAAGTTGTGCAAGCAGTCAAAAGTACCACAACGTCCCCAGAATAAAACAGCATGGAAAACGCATCTATATAGACCTTCCTTTGCACTAAGGAAGATCCAAAGCTTTCACCACTCTTATACTCAAAGTTCTTCTAGCTAGCTTTTCTTAGTTTTTCTTAGTGTGGTTTACGTAGCAGAAAACCCTAGTATTTATACACAATTGCAAGACTTTAACGTTGAAGTAGTTGAGCAGATCATGCTCACAAAATCCAGCCACAAAACAAGGGAGTAAAGCCACTATGTTGAGAAAGAATAGGTCTCCCAAATCAAAATAAAACTTTGCAGTTTAAGAAACGATTTTCTCCCTAAAAATAGGAAACCAAAGTTAATAAAAAAACTAACTCTAATAAATTTAAATAAACATAAAATCCCAACAATCCCCCACTTAGTTATTTAAAGCTTGATCCTTGAGTATATCATCATAGAGTTGTGCATAAATGATGGTGTTATGTAACTTGAACCATTACATAGTGCCTAAGCTTCAAACCAACATGAGTAACACTTAATTTTGGACTCAAACTTTGATAACAAAGCACACACAACCTTTCTTAGGTGAAGCTCGAAGCCAGCACGATTTGGCCATGTGCTTGTATCCCAGTTTAGTGATAGTGCTAGAAGTTAGCCCCATAACTTCATAGTAGGCGGCCTCACCTTCACCATCACAAAGGTGAAACTATCAAAGATACTTTTATAGCGAGGTATCCCACTCAACTAGAGTATAGTTTTCATTAAGAGTATTATAACTCATCACACATATGCTACAGGATTTCATGCCTCCACTCGAGTCTAACGATAACTTCTGTAATAAGTATGGCATGAATCCATATCACTCCATGACTTGTTATTACCTATTGAACCAATTTCTTGGAATCTCTAGCCCAGAGGTTAAGTTATCATCACAAGTGACTCAACTTAACAAGGGCTTTAACCCCATTCCATTGGAGATTTTCCAAACTTTCTCTCATGCTAATCCTTTCGTCAAAGGACCAGCCAGGTTATCTTCACACCTTACATTGTCTATTATGACAGTTTTTGTGGAAAGAAACCCTCTCATTGTACTATGCTTTCGACGAATTTGTCATCTCTTCCTATTATAATATCAATTTTCAACCTTTGCTATCGTTGATGTGCTATCACATTGAATAAGCACTGCAGGAGTGGTTTTTCCCACAAGGAATATCATATAAGAGATCTCTCAACCATCCTGCTTCTTCATTAGCTGTTGCTAGTGCTATTATTTCATATTCCATCGTTGACTGAGCAAGAATGGTTTGTTTCTTAGACTCGAGTGGAGGCATGAAATCCTGTAGCATACGGATTGACTGAAAGAGTATTCTAGTCAGTGTCGCTATATCCTTCACTATACTTATTACATACTCTTAAGGTATCTGATTACCCTTTCAATAGCACGCCAGTGCTCAACATTTGGATTGCTCGTGAACCTGCACAAGACCCCCATTGCATAGGCTATGCCTGGCCTAGTGCAATCAGTTGCATACCTTAGACTTCCGATGATGCTTGCATATTCAGTTTGTCTAACACTGTCTCCAGTGTTCTTGCTAGGATCATATAGTGTACATACAGGCTTACAATCAAAATAACTAATTTTTTTTCAAAATTTTCTCCATGTAATGTGATCGATCTAAAGAAAACCCTTTCTCAGTTTTATTAACCTTAATACCAAGAATAACACTTGCCTCTCCTAAGTCCTTCATGTCAAAATTAACACATAACAGTGACTTGACTTCATTTACCACATGAATGTTACAGCCAAAGATAAGCATGTCATCAACATATAAGCAAATTATAATGCACAGATTATTCATAGATTTGACATACATGCATTTATCACTTTCATTAATTTTGAAACCATTATTTATGAGTAAACTATCAAACTTAGCATGCCATTGTTTTGGTGCTTGTTTTAAGCCATACAGTGACTTGTCTAATTTACAAACCTTATGCTCTTGGCTAGTTATTATAAAGCCATCAGGTTGATCCATATAAATCTTTTCCTCTAACTCTTGATTAAAAAAAAAAAAAATAGTTGTAACGTCCATTTGATGCACAACTAAATCAAATAATAAGCTAATATAAACAAAACACGTATGGAAGTACTTCTAGTAACTGGTGAGAATGAATCAAAGAAATCAACATTCTCTTGTTGTCTAAACCCTTTAGCTACTAACATGGCTTTAAACTTGTCCACATTTCTATAAGCTTTTAGCTTCTTATTTAGTATCCATTTGCACCCAATGGTCTTGCATCCAGGGGGAAGATCGACCAAGTGCCAGGTTCCGTTGGATTCCAATGAATCCATTTCATCGTTTATGGCTTCTTGCCATGAATTTGCATCCAGAGAAGTTAAGGCTTCTTGGAGTGTTTTAGGATATTCTTCCAGCGTGTAAGCTTGGAAGTCAGTCCCGAAATCTTTGGCCACTTTGGGTCTCTTAATCTTTCTTGGTTCAACGCTAGTTTTAACTGAATCATTAAGAGCATGGTTGATCATTCCAGACAACCCAAAATTAGTGGAGGTTGAACCCTTACTATTGCTTGGCTTAAAAGGAAATTTATTTATTAAAAAAAAAAAAAAGTCAGCATCATTTGATTGAATAATCACATGATTTTTCAAGTCATATAACCTATATGCTTTACTATTG